ACAGCAGCGACGCCTGCTCTGTCTATACCAGAGATGACCTACCCAACGGTGAGGCCGCAAGAAGGAGGGGCTTCCCGTTCTGAGGCCCCGCCTTCGGGCGTCCCTAACAGGAAAGCGCCGGCGGCTGCCGGTCTCGGGAGCTCTGCGGGGGAAATCCCCAGTTAACAAGGGCCGAGGGGAACCTGCTGGCCTACAAGCACCTTGCTGAGACCCAAGCCCAGGAGGGGTGGACTATTAGGGCCAAGAGGTATGCACACCCGGGGCCTTGACAACCACCGTACCAGGCTTTCGCCCACGCTCCTCCTCCAAGGCTTCCTTCCCTGCAACCCCCCTTCTTAGGGGGCTGATGTTTGTTTTAACCAGCGGGGGTCAGTGAACAGCACCCTTGTCTCTCTCGTTTCCTTTTTGTCCCTCTAGGCCCGGTCCCTGAGCGTCGCATTCCAGGGTTCCTTTATTTTTGCACCCAAAAAACACCAGCTTTTGCTGAGGACAGCGCTGGGCTCCCCCATGCCCTGGCACGCTGGCAAGGAGAGGAAGCGAGGAGGCAGGAACCAGACACGACTCCCTTGTCTTTCTCTCCGCCCATCCAGGAAGAAAGCAGTAAGCCGATCTGATCGCCTGCTGCGGCCGCTGTGCCAGCATCAACCACTACGTTCTCCTTTTCCTTACACCCGATTTTACACGGAGCCCCCGGATGCCCGCGCGCCCCAGGCTAGGCAGGTCCTGACGGGCGGTGCGGGCTCCCCTCCCCGGGGGTTCTCAGCGAATCACGTTGTTCCTGGGATTTCATGCTCGAGTGGTTCTTGCGTAACCCTATGCCCTGGCCCAAGTTAATACTTTTTTTTTTTTTTTTTAATACCAGGATTAATCCTTTAGGGAAAGGCAAATACTTCCGCCATGGAACTGGCCTGGGAGTACATGTGTAAATCACTGCGCTGGGTTGATTCCCCCACCCACTGCAGCCCCTTAGCGCGTTGCAGGTCCAGGGCTTACACCTCGCCCAGAGTTCCTGGCGCCTTGGATGCCAGTGGAAGGCCCAATCCTGACGTTTGTTTTCATCTACTCTGTGGCGTCTGTCAAGGCCAGAGCCGGGTCCTGCTTACCGCTGAGCTGAGGAGTGTTACCAAAAAAGGCCTTTCTCTTGCCGAAGCGCTTGGCGGTGTGCGTTGCAGCAGGGTGACGCGAGGTTCAGCCCGGGCCTCCTCGAAGGCCAAGCCAACTGGCTTCTGGGATGCCAGGCCTGAGAGGGGGCCCCTGCCCGCCCCATCTCTACCCACAAAACGGCGGGTGGTGGTGGTGGCGGGAGGGAGACTGGGAAGCTTCAAAGTGTGTGGGCGCACTGCGACCTTCTCACCCCAAATACTGGCTGTGGCGCTTGGAAAGGCCTGGTGGAGAGTTGACCTTTTGCCCCATTTTAGAGCTGGGGTAGGCAGGGGGTCTCGGAGGATGCCAGCTCAGATGACAAGCTGGGGGGAGGGGAAGGACAACGGCCGGAAGAAGGAACTTTGCGAAGGCAGTGCGCCGGCTGTGCCGGCTCTGCCAGTCTACCAGACCCCACTGCCTGTCTCTCCACCTGGCCTCTTGGGTTACAGCCTCCTTGGCTGTGTTTTTCTACTGTGGACGTGGACCAGCACTGTTACCCCTGGGTTGTCTTTCGGGAGAAAATCCATCTGTAAAACATTGGTGTTCCTGCCTCCCTGAATCCCTGACACATCCCCAAGCAGGGTCATCTCAGACAAGCAGTTAAGATGAAATTCATCACCATAAATGATGGTGATTCTTGGAGCAGGGAAGAGGGGACAGAGTGGGAGGGCTATCTGGAGAGTTAAGCTTTTTAAAGGCTTGAGACTGTAATGGCAGTTTGTTTAAATGCACATTTATTTCTAACTCAGTGTGTCTGCACGGGCATGTGTGTGTATATATATCTCTTTCAGCAACAGTGAAGACAGAGACAGACAAGGAGATGGAGACATATGTGTGCGCATACCAAACATAACACCATGACATAGAATCCAACTTGCTTTCTCTAGCAGCCTGGCTAGGGGGTTGTGGCTAAATTGTTATTTCCTCGTTTTTCTGGTTTAATAAAGGGAAAGGCTGAATAAATATTAATGCAAAGAGCTGGGTGAATCAGCCAAGCCCAAACTAAGGAGCAGGCGGGGATGCTCCGCCATTTCCCAGCCCGCTGTTTTGACTCATTCTGGGTAGCTGTGGCGTGGGGAGGGCTGACGGCTTCCATCCAGGGTGAGGCAATGCTCCTGCACAGTGCTTTGCAGAGGACTGTTGTGAGAGCCAGGCAGCCAGGGAAAGTTTGTTATTGCTGGGGAGTGCACAGTGAGCTCACTGTTTTTGCAAGAACAGAAATCTGGATGCTCTGAGATGAAAGAGGGGCTCCCTAGGGCTCCCCCCCCTTTCTCTCCCTATTCTAACAGTGTTCCCTTTCCTTCACACCTTGGGCCCCAGATGGGGTGATGGCATGGGTTGGGTGGGGGTATAAGCTCTGAAGGTCGGTTTGAAATAAATATTTCTGGTTGCTTCAGATTGAACTTTGGTAATGATTGTAGCGATCCAAATAAAGATCTTGGCATTTTATACAGTTTACAAGGTATTTTCACATGCTAACCAGTAAGAGAACCAACACTATTATCAACACTAAGAATAACCAACAGTCACTGCCAGCTCCCTGTGAGTCCAGCACTGTGCTATACGTCCTGTATGGTGTATTTATGTTACAGTCTGTGGCAGTGGCAGACCTACAACTTCTATATATGGAAGAACTCAGTGGTACAATCTGTTTGGAAGCGGAGGCTGGGATTTCTTATGAAGGTAGAGTTGCCTAGCACTTTTCATGAGATTATATGAAACATAAAATGAGGAGGGAGATGATGGGAAAAATTTTAACAGCAAAACCACCTCTGGGAATCTAATGCTTGTCAAAGTCACCTCTCAAATTAGATTTACTGGGTTCAGATCCTAGCTGACCCTAGAAGCTGTGAGACCTTGGGCCAGCTAAATTATCTCTTTACTCTCCTAATCTGTAAAATCAGTAATAATAGAGTCGTTGAGCTTTTAATGATGATGTAAGTAAACCACATAGCAGTGTCTGTAAGTTTTGGTCAGAGTTATCTACTATTATTATAAGAAGGGAATTGAAACCTCAAACAACCCTACCAAGTTGGGAGTTATGATTGTTCCCATTTTACAGATGGAAAATCATGACAATGTGAGGTTAAGTAACTAGCCCAAGGTTACAAAGGCAGTAAATGCTGGTGAGGAAATTCCTACCAGGTCTGCCTGAATTCCAGAACCTGGAATTCCATTATATTGCTTCCCCTCCTCCAGTCTACTCCAGGATTATCTCAAGTTTCATGAAATAACACACAGATCTGATCATTTCAAGAATCCATTGAAAGGACTCCATCAGAACTATGACCAACAGACCTGCCCTGTAATAAACAATTATAGTGAGCAACAGTTTCAGTGGAAAAGAAATCATGGCCCTTTCCAGCCTTTTGGGTCCACATGGAATGAAATCACGGCACGTGTGAGAAAATATTTCGAAAATTGCCCTGTGTTTTACAAAAAGATCACTATTAGGCAGGAAAGATAGACAAATAGAGACTGGAAGTCCAGGTAGGAATTTGGAAGAGTGGGACAGCAACTAATGTCACGAAACAAACAGGTATTGTATGAATTGTTGAATGGGAAACTAATTTGCTAATTTGCTCTGTAAACTTTCACCCAAACCACAATAAAATGTTCAAAAAAACCTAACCTCCACCACTCACCTATTTGGCCTCTCCAGCACCTCCCCCTTCCTGTCCCCAGAGCAGCTGTGCGTAGCTAGTAAACTGTTTATTCCTTAAAGGCCTCCGGGTGCTCGTGGCTTCTTTAGACGTGCAGCCAAAATTTTTCGAGTGCGGCTGAGGGGAGGGGAAAGCGCACTGTGAATGCGTTTAGTTCCACGGTGGAAGCTTGGGTTCCTACATCAGGACACAAAAACAATTAAATCGAAAAGGCAGTTTCGGGGAAGATTGGAATTGAGCTAATTTTGCAGGTGTTTCAGTATCTGTGGTGGCAAAGGATGTAACGTCCATACCCGGGGAATGGTTTAATCGGAGACGAAATGAGTAATTCCCTATGTGAAATTCACAACGAAAGTCCTGAAACGGGATTAAAATTCACTGCCGAGGGTGGGGTGGGGTAGGGTGGGAAGGCGACCGGAGGTCGGAAACGATGCATGTGGTTCTTAAATACGTTTTTACTTCGGAAAGCCGGGCGGGGAAGGGAAAGGTCAGCGTCTGTTTAATTTCCACCCCCAGCCCAGGGTTTCCAGCTTTAGCTCGCCAGGCCTCAGCTGTTGTACACACACTGCAAGGGGGAGGGGAGGACGGAGGCGCGGAGGAGGGGCCAACGGGGAGGAATCTGGGCGCCTGGCCGCGCATGCGCCTTTCCGGAGCAACAAGTGGTCTCCACAGAGGAAGTGTAAAGGGGGGGACGGGGGGGGTGACTGGTGCAGAGCATGGTGGTGACGTCAGCGCTCCGCCCGGGCGGCATCCCGCGCGGCAAAGTCGGGGACAGCGCGAGCCGCAGCCCGAGCGGGAGCGCCGAGACGCGCCTCCGGAACGTAGAGTAACAATCACAACCCCACATTCCGGGCGAGCGTGAGCGGGAAGGGATGCGACCCGGGTCGGGGCGCCGCGCTAGCGCCCTGCAGCCAATGTGAGCGCCGCCAGCCGCGCGGCCCGGGCGCCGGCCAGGCCTGGGGCGGCGGGAGTCTGCGTGCGTGCACTCCTCTCCTTCTCGTGTGCCCTGGAAGCAGTGGCCGCGGCGGTTCCCTCCGGCCGTGCAAACCCAGCCGCCGCCGCCAGCGAACCAGCAGACGCTGCGGAGGGGAGAAGCTCCTCTCGGCTGCCGCCACCCCTATCCCTCCCTCGGCCCTCCGAGAAAGCAGCGGCTTCAGCAAGATTGGATACGGGCACCGGGTGGCACGGAGCCCTCTAGCCCTCGCCCCAGGGAGCCTGGCGGGAGAGGACGAAGCTCGTAGGGAGTCCCCAGGGCGAGAAAGAGACAGCCCTTTTTGAGCTTCCACTCAACCGCCACTTCGGGGAGGGGGTCCAAGAGGCAACGGCGGCCGGACACCCTATCCCCCCTCCCCCCCGAACCGGAGCTTCCAGTCCGGGTCCCTGGCACGAGGAAGAAGGCTCCTGAGCTCCCCTCCCCGGCTAGACAGCCGCAGTAGGAGGTGGGGGCGAGGAGTCGTTTGCCGCCCGGGCGGCTGAGCCCCCGCCGAGAGGCGCTGCGCCGGCGGTGGAGACTAGCGTTCCCTCCAGCCCCGGGGGCAGAACTTTCTCGCCCTCCTCTTCCCTCCCCCGCAGCCGGACTCCCTCCCCAGCCGAGCAGAACTCCGGGAGGAGAAGGCGTCGCGGAGACAGCCCGGGCAGCGGCCTACCTTTTCCAGGGCCGGCATCATGTCGGCGGCGCAGGTGTCCTCGTCCCGGAGACAATCTTGTTACCTGTGCGACCTACCCCGCATGCCTTGGGCCATGATCTGGGACTTCTCGGAGCCGGTTTGCCGCGGTTGTGTCAACTACGAGGGCGCCGATCGCATCGAGTTCGTGATCGAGACAGCGCGCCAACTGAAGCGGGCGCACGGCTGCTTCCAGGATGGCCGTTCCCCGGGGCCGCCGCCGCCCGTCGGGGTCAAGACGGTGGCCCTGTCGGCCAAGGAGGCGGCGGCAGCGGCGGCGGCGGCGGCGGCAGCGGCTCAGCAACAGCAGCAGCAGCAGCAACAACAGCAACAGCTCAACCATGTCGACGGTTCCAGCAAGCCTGCGGTGCTGGCGGCCCCGTCCGGCCTGGAGCGCTACGGTCTGAGCGCAGCCGCAGCCGCTGCTGCTGCCGCTGCCGCCGCCGCCGAACAGCGCAGTCGCTTCGAGTACCCACCACCGCCGGTGAGCCTGGGAAGCAGCAGCCACGCCGCGCGGCTGCCCAACGGCCTGGGGGGTCCCAATGGCTTCCCCAAGTCGACCCCGGAGGAAGGGCCCCCGGAACTGAACCGCCAGAGTCCCAACTCGTCCTCAGCGGCGGCGTCGCGGCGCGGAACGCACGGTGGGCTAGTGACAGGGCTGCCCAACCCTGGGGGTGGCGGAGGACCGCAGCTTACCGTGCCCCCCAACCTGCTGCCGCAGACGCTGCTTAATGGACCACCCAGTGCCACAGTGCTACCCCCCCCGCCGCCCCACGGACTTAGCAGCCGTGGACCCCCGACGCCCGCGCCCCCAGGGGCCCCTGGGGGTCCTGCTTGTCTCGGCGGCGCCCCGGGCGTGTCGGCTGCATCGTCCTCGGCTTCGTCTTCGACCTCGTCGTCGGTGGCCGAGGTGGGCGTGGGTGCCGGTGGCAAAAGACCCGGCTCGGTGTCTAGCACAGATCAGGAGCGCGAACTGAAGGAGAAGCAGCGCAACGCCGAGGCCCTGGCCGAACTGAGCGAGAGCCTTCGCAACCGCGCGGAGGAGTGGGCCAATAAGCCCAAGATGGTCCGCGACACGCTTCTCACGTTGGCTGGTTGCACACCCTACGAGGTGCGTTTCAAGAAGGACCACTCGCTGCTGGGCCGCGTCTTCGCCTTCGACGCCGTCTCCAAGCCCGGCATGGACTACGAGCTGAAGCTGTTTATCGAGTACCCCACAGGCTCGGGCAACGTGTACTCCAGCGCGTCTGGTGTCGCTAAGCAGATGTACCAGGACTGCATGAAGGACTTCGGCCGGGGACTCTCCTCCGGCTTCAAGTACCTGGAGTATGAGAAAAAGCACGGCTCCGGGGACTGGCGCCTGCTGGGGGATCTGCTGCCGGAGGCTGTGCGCTTCTTCAAGGAGGGCGTGCCCGGCGCGGACATGCTGCCCCAGCCCTACCTGGACGCCAGTTGCCCCATGCTGCCCACGGCGCTGGTGAGTCTAAGCCGCGCCCCCAGTGCACCGCCCGGAACCGCGGCCCTGCCGTCTGCCGCCCCTTCGGGCCGGGGTGCAGCCGCTAGCCTTCGTAAGAGAAAGGCGTCCCCCGAGCCTCCGGACTCGGCCGAGGGTGCTCTGAAGCTGGGCGAGGAGCAACAGAGGCAGCAGTGGATGGCGAACCAGAGCGAGGCGTTGAAGCTAACCATGTCGGCCGGGGGCTTTGCGGCGCCAGGGCACGCGGCCGGGGGCCCGCCCCCGCCCCTTGGACCCCATTCCAATCGGACCACCCCTCCAGAGTCAGCTCCGCAGAATGGCCCATCCCCCATGGCCGCTCTCATGTCGGTAGCAGACACTCTGGGCACGGCGCACTCGCCCAAGGATGGCAGCTCGGTGCACTCCACCACCGCGTCCGCGAGGCGCAACAGCAGCAGCCCGGTGTCACCGGCCTCCGTGCCAGGGCAGCGCCGCTTGGCATCACGTAATGGGGACCTGAATTTACAGGTGGCACCCCCGCCGCCCAGTGCCCACCCGGGCATGGACCAAGTGCACC